GGCCCGAGCCGCGGCCCGAGCCACGAGTCGCTGGCCGCGGGGGCGCGCCCGCCGGCCGCGCACGACCTCGCGTCGCCGCGCAGGGGGCGGCGCCCGTCGCGCGGCGAGTACCACCACCAGCAGCAGCAGCAGCAAGCCCGCAGCGGCGGCGGCGGCGCCGCGAGCACCTCCCTCCGCATCGTGCCGCTCTACGGCGGCGCGCACGCGCAGCCGGCCGCGCCGGGCACGCCCGGCCACATAACCTCGGACGGCGCTCCCTTGGAGATCACCGCGCAGGACGAGGAGCTGGCTCGCGGCCTCGAGCGCATCGCGCGCGCCGCGGCGCGGCAGCCGGCGGTGGTGGCGTCGGGCAGCCACCTCTCGCAGCTGCTGCTGGCCGCGGGGGCGCATGACCACAGAGAGCACGACGAGGCGCTGGTGCACGGCTTTGGCAGTTAAGAGAGCCCGCGCGCGCCCGGCGCCGCGTGGGTTTGGGCCGCAAACACGCGGCTACGGCGTCCCGCGGGGGCCCGCGGGGCCGCCCGCCGGAGTCGCGGGCCGCCGCGGCCGGGCTGGGGGCGGGGGGGGGGGGGGCTATCGTGTCTAAACATCATAAGACGAAAATGGGGGGCGTCTGCTGGATATCAGGGGCGGGGCCCAGTGAGGGGTCCCCCTTTTGAAGAGTGACAGCCGCGTGCACGCCCTCGCGGCTCGCGGGGCCGCCGCCACCCGTCAGGGCCGCGGCGCCTAGTGGGGGGCTGGGGCTCCTCTGTGCAGCGGGGTGGGGAACCCCAGGCCGCCTGCACCTTGACTCAGCACGGGGGTTTTCGAACGGCGGGAACGGCGGCAAGAACGACGCGCTTTGTTTTGGAACCGGGGCCAAAGAGGTGGGCCGACGCTAGCGACGCGGAAGGGGTGCTTCGGGGTGCTTCCTTTTTCTTGCGCCTGAGGCGCTCCGACCAGCCACACCCTTGGACTCGACCACCGGCCGCATTGCCGCCCCTTTTGCCACGCAATGGCGATCACGACACACGGCCCAACATATTCGACACCCTCTTGTCACGCTTCTTTTTTGCCCCTCAGCACTTCTTTGCGCGTGGGAGAATGGGAGGGCCGCACCGAACTTGTCGGCCCCGGCTTTGTCCCCCCTTGGAGCCATTGCTTACCGCGCAGCGCAGGCGCGCGTCGTCCGTGCGTGCGCCCAGCGAGCGTCGCCGCGCCGAGCGGGGCAGGCCGCTCTCGGCCGAGCCTGTGTCGCGGGCCCGACGGTGCGGCGCGCGCGTGGCGGGGCGTCTCCGCCCGCATCCGCCGCCGGCACCACCTGGCTGCGCTTGTCCCTGCCTTGTCTGTATGTTAATGATTCCCTGCACGTACCACTCGCACTCCCTGTTATTTTGTGCTCCTGTCCGCGCCTTCTGTTGTTGTGGCGGGCGGTGCTGCGACTCTGGCGCTCGCGCGCCGCACCGCACGTGCATAGGGTGGGCCGCCCGCGCCGCACTTGCGCACATCACACCTCCAAGCGTGCCGGGCACGGCTGGCGGGTTGGTTTCAGGGACCCCCAGGACCGCTGTTGCATCACCACTTTTTGCACTTGATCGGCCGCACCAGGTCGGCGGTTCTTGAAGGCCGCCCTCCCTCGAGCATTTGCACCACAAGCTCACCACATCAGTATTAAATTGAAACACATCCACATCCTCAATGGCTCGCGCGGGCCAAGCGCCAACGCTGCCTCGTCCCAGCAAACGGTCAGCTTCGCTTCCGTCCAGGCTCTTGCCAAGGGGCTTGGCCCTGACTGAGGGGCGCAATCGAGGTACTTTGCAGTGTGAGCAGGCGCTGAACGCTGAGGTCAAGCAGAGTGGTATAGATGAAGTGCGTGGGGCAAAAGATAGCAGGTGAGGGTTGAGGCTTTCCTGTCAAGCCTCAACCGTGCAGACCATGCGTGCAGACCATGCGTTCCCATGAAAAGCAACAGGAGGGTGCCTGGCAGTCAGACCCACAAAACATTGCAGCATGAGTCAGATGAAGGAACAAATGTGTGCGAACCAAAAGCTTTTGATACACAGAACGACGCGAGCGCTGCGTGCGTGGTGCAGGTCCTGCGCAGTTCCTTGTGGTTGCAGCGATATGCCAGGGCGGTTGGCAGAGTAAGGCGCGAACACCTGTATCGCATCCCTTTTTTGGGGGGACAGTGCAGTGTCGCTCGGTTGCATTGGAAGATTTGTGGCATGGTTGTGAGAACGTCGGTGTGTTGTACCTTTGCATCATACCAGTCACAAGGGTCGTCAGTGTGCCCCCCAAAGGACTCTTTCCTCCCCTCCCCCGGCCCCAGCTGGCGGCGTACAAAGTGTGTGCCGACCCCGCCTCCAAACACCCCGCCGCAACGACCGCGCTGCCGTGCTTGCCGGGCACGCACGCACGCGTGCGCCACATCACTGCCGCAGGGTGAACCCCGCTATTGTGGCGTTTGTCGCGTTCAGCTCCTGAGAGAATTGCACCGTCAGGCTGCCCCCCTGCAGGCGATACGCGGCGCCCGGGCTGGCATACGCCGCAAAGGGCGCCAGCACGCAGAAAGCGCCCGCCGCGTTGCCCCCGCCGGCCGGCGGCGGCGCGACGCCGCCGTCTGGGCCCATTGGGTACGCGGCGAGCACGCCCGCGCCATTGGGCGCGGCCTTGGCGTAGGCGGGGATCGTGGTGCTGATGATGAGCAGCATCTGCCGCCGCGACGGCGCGGGCGCCAGGACCACGCTGGTGCCGAAAGACAGCAGGGTTGACTTCTGGTCAAGATCAGAGATCGCAGTGTCGCTCAGGAGGGCGGTGTCGCCGGCGGGCGTGACGCTGAACGTGCGGATGGTGGACTTGTTGGTGAGGATCTGGATGCGGGGGGAGGGCGCCTCAGATATGGAGGGCGCGCTGCCCTGGAAGCCGTCGTTCGCCACAACGCTGCGGGGCGCCGCTGCGGATCCGCAGGGTGTGGGTTGGGGCAAGGGCAATGGGCCATGTTTGGCGGGGCGGTTGCGCGTCACCTCGTGCTGCAATGGTGTCATATACACATAGAATGTATGCATATATATACACATATGTGAGACGCTATGTGTATAGACGGCGCCCCGCCCCAGGCGCGCACATAGGACTGGGGTGGATTTTCATAGTCCTGCGCCCGTCGCAAACGGCGGTCGCGGACCGGCGGCTGGGCGCCGGCCGCGCTCGCTGGCCGCGCCTCCCGACAACGCGTGGACGCCGCACAACCCCCCCACCCTTCATATAAGCGGCTGCCCCCGCGCCTCTCCGCTGCACTCACTCGAGCCCGAGGTCACGTCCCAGACGGACGCCTGCAGGGCCGTCCCGTATGCGCTCCCGTTGGTCACCAGCATCACCGCCGTCGCCCCCGGCAGCAGCTGCAGTGCAAACGTCGCGCCGAACGTGTTAGTGTAGTACGCCGGCCGCGACGCGGCGACGCCCTGCACGAGCACCGCGGGCGGCTGCGAGGCGGGCTGCCCGGGCGCGAACTGGAGGGTCAGCAGGCCGACGCCGAGCGAGGAGTTGGCGGCGTCCTGGTAGCCTGCAATGAAGACGACGTAGTCGCCGAGGACCTTGGGCGTAGCGGTGGCGATGATGGCCTGGACAGAGCTGCACACGCGTATAAAACAGAAGGGGATTGGGGTGGGGGGTGGGAGGCGCGCGGTGTGCACCATGAGTCACCGCAGCCTTGCGGCTGCGGGGAGATGGGTCAGGTGGCGGCACACTGCTGCTGCGGCGCATGCGCAGGGGGTGTGAGGTCAGACCAGGAGGAGTGGGTTGGGCAGGTGCGTGCGGGTGCACGGACCGGACTCCCAGCTGGTGCTGTAGAGGCGAATGTCTGCCTGCGTGTCAGCGAATTTGCAGCTCTCTACCGTAGCGCGCGGGGGTATCAAGGCCGCAACGCAGGGGGCGGTCGGCTTCTGAGCAAGGGCACCTTGCC